TGCCCAGGGACACTTGGGCATGTGACTGCTGGTGGAATACCCCCAACTCTTGCATAAGAGGACGACTTCTCTAACCACTCATCCACAGCCACCTCTAGTATAGTATAGTATAGTATAGTATAGTATAGTATAGTATAGTATAGTATAGTATGGTATGGTATGGTAGGGTGAGTAGGATAGGATACGGATAAAATATGGTATGTATGGTAAGTTATGGTATGTATATGGTATAGTAGGGTATGGTAAAATAGGGTAACGTATGGTATGGTAAAGTGCAGTATGGTATGGTATGGTATGGTATGGCATGGCATGGCATGGCATGGCATGGCATGGCATGGCATGGTATGGCATGGCATGGCATGGCCTGGCATGGCATGGCATGGCATGGTATGGTATGATAGGTATGGCACTGCTCTTTAACCGTGGAGCATATGTATATAAAATACATTTTAAGTTGTCTCCTTTTCTAAGACAGGCTTTACTTTTAAAGTAAAATTTGCAAGCCAGCTGGCAAAATTCACTGTAAGTGTTTCAAATTGTGCTCGTGTAAAAATCAAAAAGACATTTGACTGAAATTTAACAACTCATTTGGGTCCAGATAAGAGTTCATTTGGATCTGGATCCAGACGGTTGTCTGCAATTTAAGGACTCCTGGTGTGCTTCAGATAAACTGTCTTTATCTACAGAGGTGGACAAATAAAAATACAGTCTGATTGATTTGAATTGGGGTGACAGTAAATACAAGATCCACCTAAAACTGAATTTGTATAGTAAAAAATTTTTTATAGATCCGCAACCTAAAAGTAATTGCAGATGTTTTGAAAATATCCCAGTCTGATTGGTGCAGTTAGTGATACTTTAACAGGTCTGTTGGTTTTTATTTGACAGGAAAATGGTTCAGAAAAACACTAAGAAAATGCTGCAGTTGTTTTACCAAGTCACTGTCATTATTTTTAAATTTCATGGTTTTTCAAAGATTGTATTTTGAGTCTATTGTTCGCTTAAGGGGAAAGCTACCTAAAGTCCTGGGAGCAGAGCCAACAGCTGACTGATACGATCACATCTCTACCTTAGATACTTTGTGGGTGGCAAACATGTTGGCTCGTTTCTACAAAGACCAGTTCCAAAATGCTGCTTTCTATTCCCTGAGATCGTGATAGGATCTGCACAGATCTGCAAGCTGAACTTCTGGAAGTCTTGATGAAATTACAAGTCTCATAAAAATTTATTTTAGCATGAAATTCACCTGAAGCCACATAAAAGCCCTCCAACCGTAGGAACAGGCACGCTGCGGTGAACGCAAAGAGCGCTTGGAAAGTAAATCAAAAATGTAGAGACATGAGGGCGACCGAGCCCCCGCCTGACTCGTGGTCCTGATGAAAGTGAACATGGAGTGATGGGCTGACGGTGCAAACAGCGCTGAAAATTGATCAAGTGCAGAAATGACATGCGAGTGTCGATGGCTGCCATTTTCATCTCGCCTCAAAACCCACTTGGCCAACAGAGGTTTCCCACGGTTTCCTTCACAGCCCATCAGTCAGGCAGGCGAGAGGGGGCGGGGGGGGGGGGGGGGGGGGTCCACTAACAGGTCGAAGCTGAACATGGAGGGAATATGAACCTGGAGCAGGAGGGCCTAACCTGTCACAGTGTGTTTGTGTGTTTTATAATCAAATGTATGCTTTTATCATGACTCAGTCTAGGTCTTAGTTACAGGTTAAAGATAAAAAGGAGAACTTTCTGTTTGCGGCTTTACAAATTTTATCAACTTAAGTCCACGTGAGTGTGCAGATTTAAAGAACGGGACAACTTTCAGACAATAAGCTCAATAAAAAGCACCGTGGGTCATAAAATCAACGACGCTTTATTGGGATAGAAACTTAAAAGGCATTGTTTTTCGGGAAATTATTAAAACACATTTCCTCACAGCTAATTAAACGTGTGCTGTTAAAAGTTCCCCAGCTCTTTTTGACGCATTTCATTGGTTAGCTGTCCATGAAACCACAGACGGACGTAAGAGACAGAAAACGTATGAAAAATGGAGAAATAAAGTTTCCTTCAAACCAAGACGATAACCAGGCTTTACGTTAAAAATCCTTGAGGTGATATTCAGATGTGTAGGAATGGTATGGATAACAAATATCTTACCTGTTGCAGACAGGTTAACTTGGAGAAAGAGTTTGACTCAGACTAAAACGACGAGCTAACGGCTAGTCGGAGCAAAGCTGAGGCCCAAGTACATTGTTGCCGTCTTAAAACACCCAAGCTCAGAAATCCCCCAAATTAATGTTTAGCGTCTTTAGCGTCGCATGGTTATTTTGGCAGGAACATTAATAAATTCCTGCAGGAAGTAGCTCAGGCTTCACAGGAAGTGCTACTACTAGCTGCTGCTGCTTGTGCGGCAACATAACCACAGAACTCTGTAACTGTGGTGTGATATTTACAGCAATGTAAAGTTGACTTCAGCTTTTCACTGCGTTAGATTTAACCTGGATGCCTCCAAACTGAGGTGGTTGGAAGAGCTATCTACAACAGGTAAGATAATAATTATTCACAATTTCTTCACTTTAAAATATATGAATTAGCCCTTTAAAGCCAAACCGATGCTCTTGAGCTCTATAAAAAGCTCTAAGATGGCAGTTTTTGATAAACTCCATGTTGTTCTCGTCTCGTTTCACCTCATTTGTTGCCGTTCTGCACCTACGTTTAGACATTTAACGACTCGGTGTGCAGAGGTTCTGCTCCACATGCTCTGCAACCTGATGATTCTTCAAGATATTTAAAAATCTATTCAAAACTAACCAGCTCTCCCTTTACTTTCAGTCAGACTCCACTGTGCCACCCCCACCCCCCCTTGTGTTAGCTGCTCATGTGCCTCCAGCTGACAGGAACTCTGAGGTTGTTGCAGCCGACAAAAACAGTTTTTTATGAAGCGATGGCGATCCTGCAGGCAACGTCATGGGAAGTTGCCTCCGTCTCACTTCCTCCATGCCTGCCACCAATACGTGAGAGCAACTCTCCCGTAGCAGCGCCTCTGTCCCTCTGCAGCAGCATGAGGCCCTCTTGGAGCTCGCCCTACAGGTGTCAGCCCCTCGTCCTATTATCTCCTCTGAAGTAGACGTTATCAGTCTGCCTGCTTGTATCTGATGATGACACCACTTGCAGAAAGTGAGCCCCCACCCCGATGACAGCGAGGTGGACGCCTCCAGTGACAAACCTTTTGTTTCAGTCACATGCAGGTGAAAGTCGGAGGCCAACTTGTTCCGTGTGGCTGAGCGCACTATGGCCGACTTGTTGCTTTTTTCCAGATTTGCTCCGCTGTGGCTCAGACAGGCGTGAGCTGCTGATCCCCCCCCCCCCACCACCCCCACTATGAATGGTTTACCACCTCTAAAGTAGCAGTTTAGACTCTACGTGCCAAAAATGTCAATAAAACGTCTCTAATCACACACGGGGTCTGTTCAAGCACCTGCTCCTGGAACACGAGCCGCCCCGGGCAGGTCTGCTGCGAAGCTACCTGTTCAACTCCCCACCACAGCTGGAAACACCAGGCAGAGTTTGGACCCCCCCCCCCAAAAAAAATTTAATTTTTTAATTTTTCTTGTTCCACAATTTAGTTCAAAGACAGATAAAAAAAACATAATTTACCTCTTGGTGTTATTTAAATTAACAATTAAGACTTTTTATGTGGTTTCTTCAAACAGGACGACGCTTTATTTTCAAATAAAACTTGTTTTTTTGTGCTTTACATTGTTTTTCTGTCCTAAATGTCCTGATTTTGATACATTATCTGTGTAAATCTTTATATGTAAAGCTGGTTTGATTTGTTTAGAAAGTGCAAAATCTTTAATAAGAAACCAAAAAATTAGGTTAATTATTGGAATAAGTCATAATTCATATCAGGGCTGCTGATTTTTAATGTTATTTTTGACATGTGGCCTTTTCCCCCCACAAATCTCCATCCAGATTTTTAATGTGCTGCAATGTTTGTTAATTCAGATCAACACATTTTGATCTTAATTTGCACTTAAAAGACAATTTTGTTAAGATAGCACTGTAGGATCTTTCTGAACTCTGAACATTCAATTCTAAAGTTTAACATTTGTGAGTCATTCAAGTCAGGATGATTAAAAAAAAAAAAGAGGAAATTCACTAAATAAAACTCAACTAAAGTCTGATTTATGTGCTTTATGAGCCAGATCCAACCGGTGTTGTGTTGAGTTTTGTTACCCTGCGATTCGTTTCTTCAGCTGCTTTAAGAAATTGTGTTTTAAGAAGCAGAAAAGCAGAAAAAACATCTGATTTTCTAAATGAAACAAAAGGGAGAAGTTACTGTAAGAATTAAATCAAGTACATTCGACTGATGCACATGATGGGAAAAAACTGCTCCAACAGGTGGAGTTATTATTATTATTATTATTATTATTATATAGAATTTTTTATTTTTTTTATTTTATTCTTCTGTGCCAAGGGTCTTGAACCTGTGGCTCAGGGGCCACACGCAGCTCTCTGGTTCCTCGAATAAATCCATCCACATTTAGACTCAAACTTTGGAAAGTAGAAAGTAAATGTTTTAAGCACAATTAATTAATTAATTAAAACTCAATACCCAACAAAAAGTACTAATTTTTTTTTGTGTGCGTTCAGGCAAATTTACTGGGATGCAGATGTAAGAGTTATTTCTTTACAGTGGGTTCTTTAAAATATTAAATGTGAGCCTTGGCCTCCATGAATGAGTGGGTACATTTTAAAATACTGATAAAAAAAGAGAATTACTTTTTTAAACTTCAGTTAGTTCGTGCCACAACAAACACTTTCACATAATAAAAACGAGTTGTTTTTTTTATTTTTAAGCAGGTTGTGGAGGTTCTGGACGAGTTTTATTAATTCAGAAAAATGGCAGAAAAGAACCCTAAAAGTAAGCGCGTTTTAAGGGGGGTAACACAACTCGACACAACACCTGTCGTCTCCATGAAGCAGGTAACGCGGGGGCCGTGTCTTACCCACGCACTCGTTGGCCTCGCGCGCCGTGGCCCGCTGCCACGGCCGGTCGTAGTGGAAGGGCTTGCACCTGTCGCACTCCGGGCCCGCCGTGTTGTGCTTGCACTCGCACACCAGGCTCCCCTCGCGGTCCTTCACGCACTTGGACGCGTGCCCGTTGCACTTGCACCGCCCGCCCACCTGCAGGTCGGACACGGCGTAGAAGTAGGAGTCTCGCGCCAGCTCCGAGTCGTCCTCGTTCTCGTCCCCGAACGTGTGCAGGCGGCTGAACACCACCCGGATGTCCGTGGCCGTGACCCAGTCCTGCAGCACCGGGGAGTTGTCGAAGTCGTGCGCGGACGGGCGGCCGTCCAGCGTGCTGAAGGCGATGAGGCCGCCGCTGAGCGGGTGCATGTCGGTGTGCGAGTCCGTGCACACGGCCTCCTGCTCGTTCTGCTTCGTGATGGCGGCGCGGTTCTGCCGGCCGTACATCTTCTTGCACTGCGTGGAGTAGAACTGGAACGGCACCCACGACTTGCCGTAGTCCATGGACTTGTAGATGGCCATGGACTCGGGTCTGGGGGAGCAGAACTGCAGGCTCACGTAGGTCACCTCGAACTTCTTGCCCAAGGGCAGCGTCAGCGACACGTTCTGCGGGAACTGCACGAAGTTGTCGGACTGCCAGCAGGTCAGGTTGTGCGGGTTGTTCAGGTCCGTCAGGTAGGCGGCCGGCCGGGACTTCTTGGGGTCCCCGGAGTCGCACGTGTGACAGTCGCGGGCGCGCTCCTCGTCCTTCTCGGTCACCACGCAGAAGCGGGCGGCGGGGCTGCCGCAGGTGCTGGACACGCGCACGTCCTTGCCGAAAGCCGAGTTGACGAAGTCCGGGATGCACCTGCGCGGGTTCCCGTTCTCGTCGTAGCAGGGGTCCGGGGGGGAGGACTGTGCGGCGAACATGCTGAGCCCGTACCCCCCCAGGACTCCCGCGGACAGGGAGGACAGGGTCAGCAGCAGCAGGGGGACCCGGGTCTGCAGAGTCCTGCTCATGATCCGAGCGCCGCAGGGACCCATGGAGGCGAGGACACAAAGATCAGAGGATGACAAAACAAAACCTGGAGACAGCAGCTGATGGTGAGGAGGACTGAGTGTGGGGGGGCTGACCGTGGGACATAAACTCACGAGGCAAACTCCACCCAGAACCACCACCTCCAACTGCAAGGCTCCGTGTCTAAATGTTGGACTCCAAAGAGTCTCAGAGAGACAGCCTGTCCCGTTCAAGCTGTCCTCCTCCTCTGAGAACCAAAAGATGAATGAGTTTGTCCTCACAGTCCCACCTCTGTCCACCTCTGTCCCTCTGATGGACCAACAGTCTGCGCTGAGGCGGCGGCAGCAGCGCCATCTGCTGGTTGATCCACGGAACTGCACCTAAATTCAACAGGACCTCCAAGCTGCAATAAAATGACTTTTAGACACAAACCTGCAGGAAAATGAGTTTTAAAAGTCCCACGTTCACGAGCAAATATCAGAAGGCTTTATTTGTAGCTGATTATACATAGTTCCTCCTCTTTTGGTGCAATGTTTTAGCGTTGAAGCAAATTATCTGTTAAACATATACAGCTTTGTTTGATGAATTTCTTTCAAAAACTTGCAGACAAAAAGTATTCAAAGTCAAGAGAAAGATTTTATTCTAATTAAAGGAAGGTGTTCATAAAACATTAAGTCTTGTAAAACAGAAAGAGGGTAAAAAGTGTTTAACATCGCTTCAAAAATAAACTTGTCAAAGTGCTTCCGGATCTCGATTGAACACTAAAATTATTTAAAGACAAATTAATATTTGTGGCAGCATGAGTTAGTTGCAAATATTAGTCAAAGTACATTCAAGAAATAAATGGAAAAAAAACTTGATCAGGTCATTAATTTGACATCTTAAATGTTAAATAATGACTTAATGGATTTTTACACATTTTTTAATAACAGTTTTGAGCGTTCATTAAACAATAAACTGTTTTTTTCTGTCTGAATAATGAATCCGTGTTCTTGCTCACTGAAAAAGAAGCTGTTTGTTTGTTTGGTCAACATGTTTTGGTTGCATGAAATCAGGATCTGTTGCTGCTGCAGTCCAGCGGCGCCACCAAGGGGCTGCATGGGGGGACAATGGCCCCCCTTTCAACTTATATAGTCCTGTCAGGAGGACGCAGGTCCATCTCTGGACTCGTTCAGTCATCTGATACAGAGGCCTCCTGGTCGTCTCCCTCTGGAGGTTTTCCTCTCTGGCATGAGGTCTGGGGTTGAAGAGTTTGATGGCTTCATGTAGTCCAGGGATCTCCAAAGCTCTTCAAGACACCGAATGTTGGAAGTTGGAAAAGCGATCAAACAAACGCAGAAACAAGTCATCAGAGAAAATTAAACCCATAATTTAGCAGTAAAACTTGATTTTAGGATGCCATAAAGAGTTCTGTGCAGAGCAGAGAGCGGTTCTGACCCGATGTGAGTAGAGCCTCCTCCATCATCAGCACCATAAACTACTGCAGCCCAAAGTTGCTGTTCTGCTCGCTCCACGTTGGAGCGTCCGTTTTTAACAAGAGCCATCCTAGTGGATGTGATGTTCGCATCGTGTCCCTCAGCCGGTCTGCCTCAGGTTCTGATTGACCCAGGACCAGCCGAGGCTCTGATAGGCGCAGTCAGACATTTAATCTAGCTCTCTGTAAGCCAGTGCAGCGTGTTGCGTGCTGATTGACACATTTCATACATTTTACAGCCTCTGCAGCAGGAACAAGCCTTACATCAGATCTGCACGTTTCCTGTTCTCATCCACTGACGTTTCACTTTAATCACAACCGCCAGATAAATCTGCAGCTTTTATTGGCTCTATTTACCCGGGATGGACCAGTTTATTAAAGCAGGTTGACTTGAATAGCTGCAGCAGTATAGGTGTAATATCCAGGCAGTGGATGGTGTTTCTGTGCTGTGCCGGGTCAGGTTTACACAGCAGTGTGGGACAATCCCCTCTGACCTACACAACGGGTCAACACCTGCTTCCTCGAGGACCAATTCATGGATTATCTTGCTATAATTGGATATTTCAGCTACCACTGAGCTTAAAGCAGCTGAAAATAGTCATCATTGTTACTGTGCAGTTATTGTATGCATGTTGCAGTGTGTGTGTTGGTGGGTGACCACAGAAAGTGTAACAGCACAGACTTGTGCAGCTAATAGAGGCAGATAAAAGACAGAAACCTCCAGATAAGAAGCTAATGAAGAAGCACGTTTGAGGTTAAACTGTGTGCATGCACTCCTCTGTGAGAACACTTGTTTTTATCGAATGCAAACTGATTTAAGTCGTTCCTCCTAACACTTCAAATCCAGTAAGGCAAAAGGTTTTATGAAAGTTTTTTTTTCCCCTATCATCCTGCAGGACAAAACATGCAGGGGAACAAAAATAAAACGGTAGAACAGAAAATCAATTAAGAATTCGGTGTAGTTCTGTCCAGGGAGCTGAAGTTGTTCTGTGGCACAACCACAGGTAACAAGTCACGTGAGGAAACAGCCCAGTTTTCATAAGTACACAAAGTATGTACCCTGTTGGACTCTCATAAGTACATTTAATTACCCTGTGGAAATCCAGTAAATACCTAGACCCTGTATGTCTCCCCATAAAAAACCTTGTGTGTACTCTGATAAGGAGTGATTCAGAGTTTTCATCATTTTTACAACCATGCAAACTAAACACTGAGGTGAGGGTGTCATAGACTGGTGGACGCTTTTCAAATTGCAAACAAAAAGTGTTGACCTTTTTTTTTTATTCACCCTGTATGACAGACGTGTTGCTATTCTCCTGCATGGTGAATATTGACGCATGCCTGATGTACGGTGAGCCCAGATGTGCTGTGAGCCGCTCTCCTCTCCGTCCCAGAGCAGAGACACAGAGCAAGCGAAGCACGCATGAGCACAACCATCACTGATCCAGCAGTTGAGGTGGTCCGGGCATCTGGACGCCTCCCCACGGAGGTCTTACAGGCATGTCCAACTGAGAAGAGACCCAGGACACTCTGGAGAGACTACGTCTCTCAGTTGGTCTGGGATCAGTGGAATGCCCACAAACCTGGCCATTTTGGATCGAAAGTACCAGCAGGAGTCAAGGCTGGCAAGAAAAAGCAGTCTGCCTGAAGAAAATCAACATTTGTGTTGTGGCTTATCTGAACCTGACTACCCTGTTTGGCCTTGGAAGCAAGCTGACTATCAGATTTCTCCAGGGACATGGGTAACTAAGGAAAAAGCTTTGTCTATCGTCACCCCCGTCCCCGACAACCTCTGTGCAGTCTTATCAGAACTGCCGGCTGACCAACATCCTATCAGGACTATGGTCTATCTGGAAGTGCTTCATGGACGAATCTCACCGTCTTGACGTCCAATGCGTATGTAACGTGTGTATAAATGTGCTGCTGGTAGAGTTTTTTAATGTCTTAACTCGTGTCCTGATGGGACAAGATGTGAAGAGATATTTTTTGTAACACCACCATCCATCCTTGTGGCCTTTTCCCTTTTTCTATCTAAAAAATATTCTGATGAACGATAAGAGGCTGCGCTGTTGTAGCAGCAGCAACGTGCACTCCGCCCATCTTTTGGACGGTTGTACGAACATAATTTCACTGTGTCCCGGTACAATGATAATAAATCTGATTCTGATTCTGAACGCCTTGGAGTCCTCCCAGAAGAGCTGGAAGAGGTGGCCATGGAAAGAGATGTCTGGACCTCCCTGCTCAAGCTGCTGCCCCTGA